CGGAAGCACCTGAATCTGTTAGCAGTACTGTCAACCCCCAAAGATTTTCTCGCGGGACAGATTTTTTAGACCCAGTGCCCAAAATTCGCGGGATTTTGCGTGACATCTACTAAATTAGCGGGATTTCGCGGGACATTTAAGGGATTTGCGTGATTGCGCTTATAGGCCAATTTTTTTTTATCAAATTCGCGGGATTTCGCGGGACCATTCGAGGGACAAACACCCTAATTGCGGGACAGTTAACAGGTTTACCAGCAAAAACTTCATAGAGGGACAGATTTTCTAGAAAAAGTGCCCTAAATTGCGGGATTTCGCGGGACATCCACCTAAATTTGCAGGATGTCCCGGGACATCCAAGGGATTTGCGTGATTTGGACTATTGTAAAAGCTTGTAAAAGTACTTAAATCAAACTTTCAGATACTGATTAATCAAATATAATGCACCGTTACATTGTAACTTAAATAAACGTCAACATAACTTCACAAAATATGCATAGAAATATTATTTCAATTGAAAGCCCATGGTATAGGGTTTCGATTAATCTACATCAAATTATAGGGAATGAGGTTACTTTTCTAGATAGGGTTTGTAGAAAAAACCGGGTACCGGGTAGTAAATCCTCAATGATGGGTTCAAACTTGGTACCCGGTCGAAAAAACCGGGTACCCAAAAAACGAAATATACGAATATACAACATAATTAGATCATTAGAAAACGTGTAAGATTTGTTTTGAATTTACAAAAATGTATGTAACTTCCTTCAAAATTGAGATAGAAGCTTCAAATAAAAAGCATTTTAAGCCTCTTTTCTTCCTCTATCATCATGGTCATATTTCCATTGGTAATGAAGGGGGAGGGGGGGGGTGCGATCGCACCATCACACCCTCTCCTGGCTACGCCAATGACATTGTAAGACGATTTGAATAACAAGGCAAATCAATTTTACTCTATTTTCAATAGTTCGTATGTTGGTACGTGAATTGTTTTGATTATGATTTAAGGACAGGGTGCATGTTGGGAAATTTTCTGCACTCCTCAATTGAGTCACATGTTATTTTTCAAACAAGAATAACTCCTTCCCCACATTGTCTACATCTTCCAGGTTTGCACAAAGAGTGCACTTATGAGCCTAGAAAAGCCTTGTGAGAAGATTTGTTTTGTAAAATGTATAAAAAACGAGAAAATTTAGTGAAAAAAATTTCTGAAAATTTTCTGAATTTTTTCACTGAATTTTCTTGTTTTTTATACACTTTATCAAAACATTCTTCTCACAAGTCTTTTCTAGGCACATAAGTGCACTCTTTGTGCAAAACTGGAAGATATAGACAATGTTGGGAAGGAGTGATTCTTGTTTGAAAAATAACATGTGACTCAATTGAGGAATGCAGAAAATTTCCCATCATGCACCCTGACCTTAAATCTGTAAATTGCTATCGTTGCTTTAGCAGAGAGGTGACGTGTGTTAATTTACATGATGCAATGTGTAAGATTTTGATTATTAATCATAATTTAAGTTATCCCAACTGTCGACAAAATGTCCACTGAATTGTCCACTAAATTGTTATGTCTTACAATGTCATAGGCGTAGCCAGGAGAGGGTGCGATGGTGCGATCGCACCCCCCCCCCCATAACCAATGAAAATATGGTCATGACGATAGAAGAAGAAAAGAGCCTTAAAATATGCTTTTTATTTGAAGCTTCTAGCTCAATTTTGAAGGATGTTACACACATTTTTGTAAATTCAAAACAAATCTTACACGTTTTCTGATAACTTAATTATGTTATACTCGTATATTTTTTGTTTTTGAGTAAGCTTACCCGTTTTTTGACCGGGTACCGGGTACCAAGTTTGAACCCAGCATGGAGCATTTACTACCCGGTACCCGGTTTTTTCTACAAATCCTTTCTAGATATCAGCGTCCATTTATTGTAACTCACGTTTGCTAACATTTGCTCAGTTCTGAGATGAAGGCCACACGGATAGTAAAAAGGCCAACGTTGGAACTATTTGTGACCTACATCCACGCCGATCGTAGAATTGGGACGGAGGGGGGGAGCAGGCAATTTCTGCTAGAAATTTCAACAAATCTGGAAGATTTATTTTTTAAAGAAGAAGTTTACTATTGAATTGCTAAATAAATAGGCTCACGGTATTGTAAAATATGTTAGGTATTCTAGGATTTTTTTTCAACCGATACTCTTTTAGGGTATAAGATCTATTAAAAAAGGCGCAACGTCCCAAAATTATTTTCGATTATTTTTTATTTCACCTATGGAAACTTATTTTACAAAGTCAGCAATAACATTAATTTTGTGACGATAATGTCACTTACAAGTATTTATTACAGGTCATGTACACCATTGTTGCATCATTTATAGCAACAACATTGACTTTTGCACGTTGGTGCGTTGCGCCTTTTTTAATAGATCTCATATCTTAGATGCCTATCATTTCAGAAAAAATCCCAGAAGACCTAACATATTTTACCATACCGTGCGCCTATCAATTCAGCAATTCAATAGTAAACTTTTTCTTGAAAAAATAAATCTCTCGGATTTGTTGAATTTTCTTGCAGAAATTGCCTGCTCCCCCCCTCCGTCCCATTTTCACGATCACCGGGCGTGACATCCCTATTGTCGTAATTAAAATGAAAGTTGAACCCTTCCTCTTTATTTTGATACCAAACAACAGCATGCTAGGTACTTAAAATTAGGTAAACTTTACTCCTCAAAAGTGCAAAAAAGCTTCTTATATAAGATTAGATAATCACAACATAGGGGATTGCAACAATTTCGGAAATTCGCGGAGGTCGAAAGCCACATTTGCGGGACTTCGCGGGACAATGCGGGACATGCGAATTAGCCTAATTTTGATCGAATTCGCGGGATAATCCCGCCATTCGCGGGACACTTGACAGCTCTGTCAGTACTGTCAACCCCCAAAGATTTTCTTGCGGGACAGATTTTTTAGACCCAGTGCCAAAAATTCGCGGGATTTCGCGGGACATGCACCTAAATTCGCGGGATTTCGCGGGACATTTAAGGGATTTGCGTGATTGCGCTAATAGGTCAAATTTTTTGATCAAATTCGCGGGACTTCGCGGGACCATTCGAGGGACAAACACGCTAATTGCGGGACAGTTAACAGGGTTACTACCAAAGACTTCATAGAGGGACAGATTTTTTTAGACAAAGTGCCCTAAATTCGCGGGATTTTGCGGGACATACACCTAAATTTGCGGTCGCAAGACATTCTCGAAAGGGATTTGCTTGATTGGGGCTTAATGTAAAAGTTCTCAAATCAAACTTTCAGATACTGATTTATCAAATATAATGCACTTAACACTTAACTTAAGTAAACGTCAACACAATTCCACACAATACGCATAGAATTATAATTAAACTACAGGGTGGTCAAAATATGGAAACCCTAATACCATTTTCCTCATATCTTTGTCATTTTAAAAAATAACTCCCTGATATTTTACACTTTTGTACATCATTCAATTTGCCTCCAGCCTATTTTATTTCACGACCATCAGATTGATAGTCACAATGTTACAGTACTCTAAAGAACATGCCCAGTGGCCATTATGGGTTGTGAGGAAACTTGACTCATCGTCTAAAATGTCCCTACCTGTGGGGATATGGCAGAGATAGAGTATATGAGAATGACCTCAGGACAATTGCAAACCTCAAAAGTGAGATCATTTGTGTCATTCAGGCCATACCTGCTGAGGAATGCATTGGGCTCATTGACAACTGTGCTGTTTTGCCTACAGCTCGATAATGGCCAAATCTGAAGCATGTTGTTCTAAGTGCTGTAAAATTGTGTCTATCAGTCCGATGGTCATGAAATAGGGTCGCAGAAAAGTAATGATGTACAAATGTGTGAAATATCAGGGATTAATTTCTTAAAGTGACTAAGATATAAGGAAAATTCGGGGTTTCCATTTTTTGACCACCCTGTATCAAAAAACCACGCTTTAGTTGTGAGTACCGTAATCCAACACGAAATTCGAAAATTCGGAACAATACTTTGCACTTATGGTGTTCGTGACCAACTATGAAACATTTACCCCCCCCCATAGTATTACATTATTAAAATGTACCTATTCATACTGGGGTTCGATAAATCTACATCAAATTATAGGGAGTCAGGTTTCTTTTCGAGATATCAGTGTTCATTATTGGAACTCGCGTTTGCTAGCATTTGCTCAGTTCTTAGATGAAGGCCGTGACACGCGTAGTAAAAAGGCCAACGTTGGAACCATACGTGACATACATCCCTATTTTCGTAATTAAAATGAAAATTGCACTCTTCCTCTTTATTTTGATACCAAATAACGGCATACTAGGTACTTGAGAAGCCAAGTATATGGTGTTATTTGGCGGGACATGCGAATTAGCCAAATTTTGATCAAATTCGCGGGATAATCCCGCCATTCGCGGGACACTTGACAGCTCTGTACTCTTCACATTGACATGGATTTTAACAATGCAGGACACCTGACATTATATTTGTAAAGCTAGGAAATGGGTTAAAAATGAATTTCGCTAGACAAAAATGGCGGCCATCTTGAAAATAGGTGAGCATTTGAACCAGGAGTCATAGGGGAGTTTTCTGTATTGATGTTGAACAGAAATAACTTAAAACGGGAATCCTATCCGGACAGATGGACAGACGGACAGACAGACGGACAAGTGAGTGATTGCAAAAGCTCACCATGTGAGCTAAAAACTGAGGACTTCAACAAATTCTTCAAATTCGTCATAGAGTGTGGTACGGCTATGTGTAGTAGACACATTCTTACATTTTCAATCAAGACCATGGCACACTGCAATATAATTATTTTCATTATCCAGAACGTCTGATTTATAAAGTCTGCAAAATTATTTTGTCAAAAGTATATATGGAACAGTAGCCTGCACCAAGTATTGCAAGGCAATATGCACTTTAGTGCTTAAAAAGTACCGTAAAAAAGCCAAGTACATGTTCCAACAAAACAAAAAAAAACAGTACTTTTAAAATGCCTATTTTCGCCACTATATTGCATGTGCTGTAAATTGCTTTAATTTGACTGCCATTGCTTTTAATTGGCGGAGACTTAATTTGATGGTTTTTGTCAATCCGCAAAATTTTTGAAAATGAATTTCCTGGGAACTTTTGTCTAGTGCCTTGTCCAGGGCCTTTTCCATGTGTTACCTTGCGCAATAAAATGTTGGTGAAAATCTTCATCGAAACATATGGATAAAATGTCAATTTTTCCCCAAATTTTTGAAAATGAAATTCCTTGGAATTTTTGTCAAGTGCCTTGTCCAGTGCCTTTTCCATGTGTTACCTTGCACAATAAAACATTGGTGAAAATCTTCATCGAAACATGGATAAAATGTCAATTTTAAATGATTTTGGAAGATCTAGAGTCCCAGCTGGTTCAAGAGCTTATTTAATACCTGGGGCTTAAGTTGTGTACCAAACGAAACGACACGACATCCGGGGCTTTGTATGATCTGCAATACAAAATGGTGTATAGAGGGGTCAGTTTTCTCAGACCTAAGGTACCTCTTTATGTACCGTTTTGCGGTTATTTTACCCTATGGCATTGCAATCCGTTCACATCATTAGCTACATAATTGATTAACTCAAATATATGATATGTAAATAAGGGTAAATACGAACAGAATAAACAGGGAAATGTACTTGAAGTGGCGATTGTGTTTTCTGTCAGTCAGTGTTACCCCCGTTACCCAGCTCTATAGTGCGGTCATGGGGATAGGGCTATATTTTGAGTTGGTACTCACACTCAGGGATGCCTGATTGCGTGGCCGAAGGCCGTGCACCGTGAGGGTCCGGGGCTATGTTCCCCCGGGAATTTTTTTTCAAGGACGTTATTTGATGGAATCTAAGCGTTTTTATCAACTTCACATGTTGACAATGGTAAAAATACAGATTCGGTAGGAAGCATCAATAAATTCACAAATAAATTAATGCATTTTAACAAATTTTTAATTTTTTTCAAATTCATTTGGTACGCCTGTGCGTATTTTGCGTAATAGGCGCTACGCCCATGGCGGTATAAGGTGACCTGATTATGCAAATGAGAAGACCCCGTTGGTTTCTCGTCAGAACAATCAAAACGGATGCCGACAATCTTCGTTTTAACTGTTGTTTCTCAACGTTTCGTGACCAAAATTCACTAAAGTATAGGAAATATGTTAAGTTATCGGATGGATTGATTTTACTTTCCAATCACCAACATGAGCTGACATATTCAGCTCTGGATTTCATGTCCAAAGGGGGGGTAACACACATCGTCAGAATCAAATTCAAGTTATCGCACCCCATTTTAATTGGTTGATAGAACAGTATACGGTGAAAGGCAAAACGCCGAATACATTGAAATTGCGAACAAGGAACATTCCGGGCATTACGTTCCCCCCGTGATTGGCTGGTTTAGATAAAACAACTGATTATCTGATACCAGGAGAGATAGAATTGCGTTATCGGTTCCGAGCTGTGAATTGAGTAGTGTAATACGATTTATGTTAGACAATCAGCCAAATTAATTAGCTCCAAATTAAAGCAATTTATGGTATATTCACCAGGAAGGTCAAGCTCACCAAAACATGTTTTCCATTTCTATACACCTGAGAGCAGCATTTAAAATATGCCGTCAATATGAAATTGGCATAGTTCTAAACTGTTTTTACAATATTTGACTGATTTGAAGTATTCATGAAAAATCAGACCCAGTGTAGTGTGGTGGTTAGGTGGAAATCCAGCTAGATGGGGATGGCAAATTAGACAAACCACAGAAGTACTGAACATCATTAACAATAATATTGAAGATCATATTGTTTTAATAAAAATGTACTTTAAACACTGATCCATTATTTGTTCCACCCTTTAAAGTACATTCAAGAGATTCATAAAATGTTATTGGATAACATCAAATGTTACAGTAAAAGGTTAATTAACTTGACTTACAGGCCCGTAGCCAGGGGGAGGGGGGGGGGGTTCGATGGGTTCAACCCCCCCTGGCCAAATTAATCTTTCAAAATCATGCAGTTTTTCACCATTCTGAGCACTTTTTAAGTGATTTTGGCTATTTTTGGAACAAAATTGTCACAAGTAAATCCCCCCCTGGAATTTTTTTGGCAAATCCTGGCTACGGGCCTGACTTACCCATGATAATAATAAATAAGTGATGGCTAACGACAGCAGCTGTAAAGCCACAATATAATACAATAATATACAGCCAGACTACATTGGAATGAGTTCTGATTATGTTACAGTTGGAAAACAATAAATATAAATAAACAAAAATATTTAGCAAAAATACATGTAAGTGAGATTCACAAAAGTATAATACTGTCTTAGTACTATTGACCCTACAAAAAACTGTAAACTGTAAGTTTAATTAGTACCTACTTGTTTCTATGTTTGAATAACAAATTGATTTAGATTAACAATATTTCGATTAAAAATCTTTCTTTAGCATAACTTGCTTTCTGCAAAAATCATGTCAGCATGTAGGTATAACATAACATAAACATCCATGTTGTGAATCATACTATATCTATTACTGTACTAGATAAATTGCCCATTTTGTGAGCTCACATGATGTAAAGGAAACCTTCAGAATATAGCAATAATCTCATATCAAAGCACAAAATTGTTCACCCTGAGGGCAAAGATTTCACTATGTTGCCAACTAAAAAGAGATTATTACTATTATTAAAGGCTAACATCTCCCTAAAACATAATGATATTTGGATATACATGTATATTATTTTTACACTTTCATACACCTTCCTGCTCACTAGGCTGGCATCATTCCACTAGTGGTTTTACATTTCAAAAAGAGAAATTTACACATCTTATAAACCTTATATGCTTATTGTATCATGTGATATGAAATCTTTGAAATATTATTTTCAATTAAGCTGTTCCAATTTCTTAAAGAGAGAATCAGATATAGCGAGCAGGCTAAAAAAAGTGCATACATGTACTTTATTGCAGGAAAACTAAAGATTTTTACAATAATTATTATTTTTCTATAAGAATGGTTACTATTCTTATTATTTGGGAGAATTTAAACATTTTCACTCATTTTTGCACTTTGAATCATTAATGACTTAATAACCAATTCATAACATATTGTGAATCTTTTGGGAGATATTGTATTTGATATTGTAAGGAATAGATTGGTAGGTCAATTATACATGTTGCTTGTAATTTTGTCACCCCTATAGATCAGATTCTGCCTTTAATCTAATTCTCAGATTCTGAAGATGTTTAGCCATTTCTTTCTTTATACTTTTTTACTTGATTTAGCTAAAATCAAAGACTGCCTTTGATCAAATATTGTCTGCCATTGCCATTTTGAGCTTATTCTTTCAACACTGAAACTTGCCCAACTACAAAGGCACCATTATTCTGAAAATGAACAAAAATTCTCAATTGCCAAATAAATTACAAATACAATGTTCAAAAGTAAATGTAGTGAAGAACTAGATGTTTGCTTTCAAACAAGCTTTAAAGTAACTACTATCATCAAAATACTTCCTTATATGCTCTTTTAAAACAAACATGAAAAATTCATTAGCAGGACAGAGGCCTTCTTCTAACTTCCCTTGACAAAATAAAACCTTAGATGTTATATCTTTGCCATTAAATATTGCACGTATATAGAATTTAGAGCCATTTTTTGATTGGATTAGTTCAAGGACAAATCTTGTGGCATATTTAGGCCACTCACCATTGTTGACCCCAAGAGCAACAGAGAGTGCTGTCACTGTTAGGTCATGCCCCGAGTAAAGCACAAACTTTGGCACATTCAGACTTCTTGTCTGATTAAACATACGTAGAGCAATTTCAAATATCAAGGGATGAATTGCTAACCTTTGAAACTTCTGATAAGCTTCATTATAAATGTTCTCATGTCCTAACCTATCCTTAACTTTAATTACTCTACTTGTCATATTAATATATTCCTTCATACATCCTGGTGTAAAGCAAGGAGGTACGATACCATGACATATGTGAGCTGTAGAGATATCAAAAAGACCATTTAACCATTGTTGTCCATTTTTTACCATTTTTAATAAATCTCTTTTAACGCTTAACCATAACTTATCATTTTTGGAGATAGTAGATCTAGCCTTTTCTGCCATGGAATGGTATTGGGAGGCTGCAGCACATGCACAATTGAACCCTGTATGATATGTTGAGCAGAAATAAATCCCAGCTTGAGGTTTAATTGGAAGAGCTTCTAATTTAAAATTAGGAATAAATCCAAACAGAAATGCAACTGCACTTTGGTAGGTTCTAGAATACACAGTGCTGCGGACATGTACTTCAGACTTCTGTCTCAATCCATCATCCTCAAGTAACTTCCAGCGCTTGATATAAACATTTCTTAAAAAATCTCCATTGTTTAGATGCTGCATTGCACCTTGCCCTGTAAGCTGTGAAAGAGAACACACAGCAGAATTGGGGAAGGGAGATAATATGGCAGAAAATGGATTGTTCTTCCATACTGCATATGATTTCATATATTCAAGATATCGCTGAAGTAATATACTCCTATTGACAATATCATCGAAGTTGCAGCTAATGTTTAAGTTGTTTACTGGGATCATTGGTGTCCTATCACCGTGACGTATTAATACATGGACAGACACAACTTTATAGTCCGTTGGAACAACACCTGCAACATCATGTAGAAAATATAATGACACAATATAATAATAGATCCTTCAAGTCATACTATGAATTATGAGGGTGTAAAATGATTTATTTTTACCATGAATGTTTTAATACAGTATTGATTAAACAACAAAAAACATGGAAACTCAAGATTCATTAGACATTACAGGGGCAAAGTCGGGATATAAAACTAGAAAAAACAGCAACTCCACGAGTAGCAAATCTCACCGAACAAAACATCTTTTGATAATATTAGTGGCCATTTTCAAATTTTCTCCTTCAACAGAGCATACCAGCAAATAGAAAATTGAACCAAATCTATCTACTGGTATTTGCGTTATCAGAGATAAATTTTTACTGAAAAATGGTCATTGATTTTCAAATTCAGAAGCATGTAATTTGAACCAAGTCTGTAAATGGAGCAACTGTGTCCTAATGCACCAGAATATAAAATTAGAACCAAATCCGTTCACTGGTAGCCAACTATTCTTGTATATAAGTTATCAAAGATTATATTTTTTTTAAAATGGCAGCCATTTTGATTTGAGCAGCCATATTGAAAATTCCTTCTCGAGCAGAGGTCCTACACCCATAAGACATAAACCTTTACAATTTGAATTGAATCCGTCGATCAGTATTTTAGTTATCACCCGGACAAATGGACGGACATCTTGTTTATGTGCTGTTTATGTCATCTTCATTCAGTCCAGCTTGAAAATTTATTTGTAGTCTTTTTCTTTTACTCTTTGTCATCTTAGTTTCTTCTATGTTTCTGTTGTTGTTTTTTTCTTGTTGTCTTTACACTCTACTATACCTTGCATTGGGTGTTCATGAGCAACCCTTTTGGCTTATTAGTAATGATTATGTTAATTGTTTTTATTAGTCTGTTCCTTATTAATGGTTTATCCCACTCTCTCACTTTTAATTGCATCTATTACATGGCGTTACCAGAATGTCAGGAACGGGGGATTTATTTTACATTGTGATTAATATAATATTATTATAATATAAATATATATTACGGAACAGTTTATCTTATCTTCTTCAATCTCTTTTATATAGGAAAAATAAAATGAAACATTTTGAAACAGATTAAATAAGTTAACACATAGAACTTTAACAGACTTGCCAACCTAAAATGAAAAAACAGGAGTTTTTACGGTAGATTTTGAAAAAACAGGAGTTTTTACTTTAGATTTTGAAAAAACGGGAGTTTTTACGGTAGATTTCAGAAAAAACAGGAGTTCTTGCGGTAGGTTTCTGAAAAAACGGGTGTTTTTACGGTAGATTTTGAAAAAACATGAGTTTTTATGGTAGATTTCTGAAAAAACAGATTTCAAACTGTCTATATTATTAATATGATCTGTTTAAATTATAGATACAACATTTTATTTCACAGCAGTCCCTACCCATAATGCGCCTTATATTGCGGGGAATATTTTCTTTAGCGCCATATAAAAACAAAATGTATTCTCCCGACAGAAGTATGACAGAATATGAACTGGCCCCCGTTTGTGGACATTTGGTGTGCAAACTTATACCGAACTGATCGCAGAAAAGCAATTTGAATCATGGGAATGAAGTACTTTTAAGTTATTTATGAAAGTATCGATAGTGAACCATGGGAGCCAATCCTTCTTAGAGTAAAAGAAAGAAGCGTGCCTGCAATAAGCAAGGTCACAAATTTGTCAAATTCCTTTTAAATACGGTAGATTTTGACAGCAAATTACGAGAGTTATACCAAGAATATGGGAGATTTTACGCCTATACCAGAAAACGGGAGATTTTACGGGAGTTATACCAAGAATATGGGAGATTTTACGGGAGTTATACCAGAATACGGGAGATTTTGAAAAAATGGGAGTTTTTAAGGGAGATTTTTAAAAAAAGATATTTTTCACATTAAATTTTAGAAAACGTGACTTTTTTGACAGAAGATTTCAGAAAAAATGGGAGATTTGCGGTAGGTTCTGAAAAAACAGGAGTTGTTACAGTAGGTTTTGAAAAACGGGAGTTTTTACGGTAGATTTCTGAAAAAACAGGAGTTTTTACGGTAGATTTCTGAAAAAAACGGGAGTTTTTACAGTAAATTTTTTTTAAAAACTGAAGTTTTTACGGTAGATTTCTGAAAAAACTGGAGTTTTTAAGGTAGATTTCTGAAAAAACGGGAGATTTACGGTACATTTCTGAAAAAAACGGACGTTTTTATGGTAGATTTTGAAAAAACAGGAGTTTTTACGGTAGATTTTGAAAAAACAGGAGTTTTTACTTTAGATTTTGAAAAAGCGGGAGTTTTTACGGTAGATTTCAGAAAAAACAGGAGTTCTTACGGTAGGTTTCTGAAAAAACGGGTGTTTTTACGGTAGATTTTGAAAAAACATGAGTTTTTATGGTAGATTTCTGAAAAAACAGATTTCAAACTGTCTATATTATTAATATGATCTGTTTAAATTATAGATACAACATTTTATTTCACAGCAGTCCCTACCCATAATGCGCCTTATATTGCGGGGAATATTTTCTTTAGCGCCATATAAAAACAAAATGTATTCTCCCGACAGAAGTATGACAGAATATGAACTGGCCCCCGTTTGTGGACATTTGGTGTGCAAACTTATACCGAACTGATCGCAGAAAAGCAATTTGAATCATGGGAATGAAGTACTTTTAAGTTATTTATGAAAGTATCGATAGTGAACCATGGGAGCCAATCCTTCTTAGAGTAAAAGAAAGAAGCGTGCCTGCAATAAGCAAGGTCACAAATTTGTCAAATTCCTTTTAAATACGGTAGATTTCGACAGCAAATTACGAGAGTTATACCAAGAATATGGGAGATTTTACGCCTATACCAGAAAACGGGAGATTTTACGGGAGTTATACCAAGAATATGGGAGATTTTACGGGAGTTATACCAGAATACGGGAGATTTTGAAAAAACGGGAGTTTTTAAGGGAGATTTTTAAAAAAAGATATTTTTCACATTAAATTTTAGAAAACGTGACTTTTTTGACAGAAGATTTCAGAAAAAATGGGAGATTTGCGGTAGGTTCTGAAAAAACAGGAGTTTTTACAGTAGGTTTTGAAAAACGGGAGTTTTTACGGTAGATTTCTGAAAAAACAGGAGTTTTTACGGTAGATTTCTGAAAAAACTGGAGTTTTTACAGTAAATTTTTTTTAAAAACTGAAGTTTTTACGGTAGATTTCTGAAAAAACTGGAGTTTTTAAGGTAGATTTCTGAAAAAACGGGAGATTTACGGTACATTTCTGAAAAAAACGGACGTTTTTATGGTAGATTTTGAAAAAACAGGAGTTTTTACGGTAGATTTTGAAAAAACAGGAGTTTTTACTTAAGATTTTGAAAAAACGGGAGTTTTTACGGTAGATTTCAGAAAAAACAGGAGTTCTTACGGTAGGTTTCTGAAAAAAACGGGTGTTTTTACGGTAGATTTTGAAAAAACATGAGTTTTTATGGTAGATTTCTGAAAAAACAGATTTCAAACTGTCTATATTAATAATATGATCTGTTTAAATTATAGATACAACATTTTATTTCACAGCAGTCCCTACCCATAATGCGCCTTATATTGCGGGGAATATTTTCTTTAGCGCCATATAAAAACAAAATGTATTCTCCCGACAGAAGTATGACAGAATATGAACTGGCCCCCGTTTGTGGACATTTGGTGTGCAAACTTATACCGAACTGATCGCAGAAAAGCAATTTGAATCATGGGAATGAAGTACTTTTAAGTTATTTATGAAAGTATCGATAGTGAACCATGGGAGCCAATCCTTCTTAGAGTAAAAGAAAGAAGCGTGCCTGCAATAAGCAAGGTCACAAATTTGTCAAATTCCTTTTAAATACGGTAGATTTTGACAGCAAATTACGAGAGTTATACCAAGAATATGGGAGATTTTACGCCTATACCAGAAAACGGGAGATTTTACGGGAGTTATACCAAGAATATGGGAGATTTTACGGGAGTTATACCAGAATACGGGAGATTTTACGGGAGATTTCAGCAAAAATACGGGAGATTTACCATAAAAAAACCAGAACAACGGCAACGCCAAAGCGTAGCGAATCCCATCGAACAGAAATGGCTGGCATTTTTACAAACGAATAGCAAATATCATAAAACAACACACCAGAAAGGCCACCATTTTCAAAATGGTTGCTCACTAGCCATGTTGTCATCAGAAGAAATAATATGCTTTTAAGTAGCCACCTCTAAAATTTTTGAAAAATCGCACACGTACTTGTAAAATAACACACATAAAAATGGTGGCCATTTTTCAAAATGGCCGACTACTCCCCAAAGTTTTATTAGACAATGTGCCATGCTTAAAGTATTCACATATCAAATATGAACAAAATCGCTCTACTACTTTTCGAGTCATAGTATAAAATGGCGGCCATTTTTCAAAATGGCCACCTTCTACCAAAAGTGTCATTAGAAATAGACAGTGTGCCATGCTTATAGTATTCACATACCAAATATGAACAAAATCGCTCTACTACTTTTCGAGTTTTAGTAAAATACGTTAAAATGGCGGCCATTTTTCAAAAAAATTTTCAAAATGGCCGCCTCCTACCAAAAGTGTCATAGGACAGTGTGCCATGCTTATAGTATTCACATACCAAATATGAACAAAATCACTCCACTACTTTTCGAGTTATAGTAAAATACGTTAAAATGGCGGCCATTTTTGCCTTGTACCCAAAGTGTCATAGGACAGTGTGCCATGCTTATAGTATTCACATACCAAATATGAACAAAATCGCTCCACTACTTTTCGAGTTATAGTAAAATACGTCAAAATGGCGGCCATTTTTCAAAATGGCCGCCTTCTACCAAAAGTGTCTTTAGACAGTGTGCAACGCTTATAGTATTCACATACCAAATATGAACAAAATCGCTCCACTATTTTTTGAGTTACAGCAAAAATCGTAAAATGACGAGTAAAGGCCGCCATTTTTCAAGATGGCTGCCATGTGCTTCTTTAATATCTACATTTGTAGCACTATTAATGTCCTTTATAATTTTTTTACATTTAAAACATATTGCTATTACAGTTTTACATATTGCACCTAAATTACTGTAAAATCGGCACTAAAATGGCCGCCATTTTGAAATGAGCGGCCATTTTGAAAATCGGCTTTCGAGCAGAACTTCTACCTCCATAGGGTATATGTGTACAAAATATGAACAAAATCGGGCCAACGGTATTTGAGTTATTGCCCGGACGGACAGACGGACGGACGTACGTACGTACGTACGGACGGACGGACGGACGGACGGACGGAGGGAGGCGTTCCCTATATCCCTCCGAACTTCGTTCGATGGGATAATTACGGGAGATTTTAGTAGAAATTCGGTACGGGAGTTTTTGCGGGAGAAAATGGTACGGGAGTTTGGTATTTTTTACGGAAAAACAAAAAATTTACGGGAGATTCCCGTAAAAAAATGGGACAACTGGGTTGACCCCAATAATTAGAGCTATTTTGAGATTTAAAAATCTTTAAAATTGAACCCTTCAATGACTGTATCATGTCCCACGTAGGTGGGTAGGTGGGTATGGGGTAGGAGGTTTTTTATACAAAGCCAAATTTATAGCCAGTTACTAATATCAGACGTTAACGACATTTTGTTCAGTTTTCGAATATCGCTATTTTTTTGGAGCCGTTTGTTTTAATTTTAGACGTTCTCCTAACGAAATCATGCAATATCTCATCAAGGAGCCCAGTGTCCATTCATTTTTAGCAATTGTCTTTTTGATATATGCTGATAGTGTTTCTTTCTTATATCCTTGAGATATTAATTTTTTCCCAAGGACTTTATTCTTTTGGAAGCAATTTTTTCATCACTGCAGACTCTTGATATTCTTATTATCCGTGACACATAGACTCCATATGATTGTTTTCTTGGAAGGTCTGGATAGGAAACTATATTGAAATTAAAACAGATGGATGGACGAACTGACGGACATCTTTCCCTTATCCCCCTTGAACTTCATTCGATGGGATAATTAGACGAGACAAAAAATAATAGGTGAGGTAAGATTGTGCATTTTTTCAATATTAACAGTTATATGAGGTTTGATCAATAAGTAATGGATCCTATTTACACAGATGCTTTTTATAGACCAATCTTTTTGGGCAGGGGCATTGTATGGAGTGGGGTTTCTCACCAACCCTTCTTCTACAATGCTTTCTCAAATCAACCTACAAATAATCCCTGACCAGTGGCGAATCCAGAAAGGGGGGGGGGCACATTTCGAGTCAGGAAAAAAATTATGGGCCCCTAAAAACAAAAATTCTGAAAAATCAAAGCCCAATTTCTGATAAATTGACCCAAAAAGGCCAAATTATGCCCATAAAGGCCTATTTTTTGAGGTCCTACAAAATTTTGGGGCCCAAAAACTAAAATACATATTGTGTCTTCAAATCTTCAGAGTTGAAAGATAATTTTATGATGTATCACTGGTAAAAAACAGAGATTGCTCGATAAAAAGCATCCATGTAAAGAAGCGTCCATTACTTATTAATCCCCCCTCATAGAATGGTATACAGAAAAGCAAGTTTGCATCAAAGTTAGTGTTGATGCAAGATTGCTACCTAACCTTCTTCCCCTGATACTTTATCATATGGGCTGTTACAGTATTCTTTCAGCCTCTGTATACCTTCATATTGTGAATCATGTTTCCTCTCAAGCCAAAAATAAGCCTTATTTAAACCAGTCTTGATAAAATAAGAATTGTTTGTTAGATCACTTCTGGAGGGTATAACTTCAAAATTCGTTATTGTATTACTGACAGCAACGTTTTTTACTGACTGCTCAGTTTTACTTTGGTAATGACTCCTGCCCAGGGAATGTGCCTTGTAAGGAAGTGTCTGATCAGATTTGTTTGCATGCTGATCATGGGACAAATACATGATATCTGAAATAAAATAGCAACAATAAGATACATGTACACTGTAAAGAACGAGGTAAGGTATGGCAAGCATTTTCGAAGGGCTATATCTTTTGTTCTAAGAATACTTTAAACACAAATACAAATGGTTATGTTAGATCCATGTCTTATCTTCAATAAATGACATTAGGATGATAATCAAGTTGACTAGATTATCTCTTAAGCTGTCCCTAATCCACCCATCCTCACCAATTTTCCCTAATTCTGACGCAATTTTCACCAAAAATGCAGGCCTTATTAATAATTTTTAGTGCAAAGTTGTATTGAACTTTTAGACATGATTTAAACTGAAAATCCAAAATGGCTGCCTTTACTTGCTAAACAGGACTTTACAGACAAGATTTTAAAACAGAAAATCTAAAATGACTGCCTTGACATTTACCCAGAATGCCAAAAAACCAATCAGATCTAGATTTTCATACTAAGAATCATCCCTGAAAATTTGAAATTGATCTACCAAACTGTTCACCAGAAAACATGTAAACAAGACTTTACAGACAAGATTTTAGGATGGAAAATCCAAAATGGCTGCCTTGACATTTACCCAGAATGCCCAAAAACTAATCAGATCTAGATTTTCATACGAAGAATCATCCCTGAAAATTTGAAATTGATCTACCAAACGGTTCACCTGGAAATGCGTACACAATACTTTACAGACAAGATTTTAGGACGGAAAATCAAAAATGGCTGCCTTGACATTTACCCAGAATGCCCAAAAACTAATCAGATCTAGATTTTCATACTAAGAATCATCCCTGAAAATTTGAAATTGAGCTACCAAACGGTTCACCTGAAAACGCGTAGACAAGACTACAGACAAGATTTTAGGATGGAAAAATCCAAAATGGCCGACAATAAAAAAGTGATTATGAGTTTTTGCTGATTTCTTTTTACAAAATTATCACATATAACTACTGTTAACAATAACATAGGCTTTTACAACAAATTACACCTGAAATTATTTATAAAGCTACTAAATAGTTAAAGTATGAAAACTGAAAAACACCATTCAATATGATACAAAGTATTATCGCGCGCCAACTTTTCTTAAAACATTCAAAATGGCTGACATGACTGAGCTAACAGGTCCAAAACCTAATCAGATGTAGAATGAAGTGAGCTGAACAAAATATCAAAGTTTTAAAAGCAACTGTGAAGCCGTTTTTCTTAAAGTTTGCAGACAAGGATTTTAGCATTTGACTTCAAAATGGCCGACAGGAAGTAGGTATCGAGTTAAATTTTTTTATCCACATCTGTGTGCACTCATTAGTTTTCCCTGAAAATTTAAAGGTGATTTCTGTAGCAGTTTTGGAGAAAACTGCCAGACGTACGGACGGACGGTCGGACGGACGGACAGACAGACGGACGTGCCTAGGCCGACAATATGGCCTCACACTATGTGGTGGGGACATAAAAATGATCTCCAAAAACTTATAAATGTACCTACACAAAATAATCAGAATAATATTGATGACAAACAGAAATCCTAAGAGCCTTTCCTTGTTCAACATGTTCAATTTCCCTTGCGCCAAATATCCTGGAAAACAAGACACAAATATAACTAGACATGTAAATTGAACAAGTTCAATTTAAGACTCCAGATTTCAAATTTTTTTTAAGCTGAGTCATCCAGAACTTGTAAGCTGAGTCATTCAGAATAAGCTGAGTCAGCTAGAATAGAGACATTTAGACAACTTTTAAGAAGGCTATCTTCGACTCTCAATTGGCTTAACCTTTACCATGCTGCCTTATTTCAGCAAATATATCCCACGCAACTGGCTTATTTTTCAAAGAGTGCAAAAAATGATATGCCTGGACTAAATAATTAATATCTCAATAACTACTGAATGAATCTGGATAAAATTTTCACAAAGGGAAGATACAGTGGCCTGGCTCATGAAAAAAAATGTTCTCATGAATTTATTCGTACATTAACACGACTGGGCATAAATATACCATGAATACTCCTCCGGAATCCGCCGCTCCGACTCTTCGTCTGGTCAGAATCCAAATCTGAATTTGCAGCGATCGAATGTTCAATTTTTCAATTCAGAAAATATTCTAGTTTCTATTTTCGATGACCGTTATCGGCTTCCAAGAGCCTAAAGAGCTCGGAATCGTAATCCATTTCCTCCACATTTTCGTTGTGATCGTATTTGTCCACCATTTTGTACGATTCGTTCACTAAAAACGACTAAAACACTGTTTAAATTGTTGAATTGAGAATTATTTTTCGAAATATCGCCATTTCTAGGTCAACAGGAAGTCATGTTAGGCACTGAATAAATCGGGCAATCTAATTGGACAATACGAATGGCGCGAAAAAGTAAAGTTTTTAAAAGTTTGAAATCGGGCGTACGGGTCCGCCGGCAGTTGTGAGAGACATCTTAGTCTCGGCGGACTCGTCCGCCGGCAGCACGCTAAAGGTTAATATGGGGATATCATCATATCGACTTTTCGAGACTTCAAACCACTATAACTATCTAACCAGAAGTTAGATCGAAATTTGGTTTAAAGATTCTGATTCCTGAGAAAATTCTACCTTAAATTCATAACTCATACGTTAAATTTGGAGAATTTTTTATTTTGACCTACATTTCGGACACCATATCTCAAAAGTGGGTCAAAAAACTTTCTGACGGCAAAGGCTAACACTATAAGCACACTCTTTGCTAACTGTATTCAAAATTTTGAAGCAAATCCTTAAAGTGTAATGTCAGAATCGCAAAAATAAGGAAAAACTATGAATTTGACCTAGATTTTGACCTAGGCATTTTTGCGTCCAAATTTTAAAGCTAGATAGCCTTCGAGGTCCCCTCCTTTTATAGGCTTTTAGAATACTAAGCTGTACTTAGTCTATATCTGGTATTTTACATTTCAAAAAAATCCTTTTTCTCATTGACATAACATGGGGCACCAAATTTAGCGATTTTTGAGCTTTCAAAACGCCATAACTTTCGAACCGGAAGTCAGATCGAAATTTTGTTTGCAGATATGGATTCCTTAGAAAATTCTACCCTTAATTCATAACTCATACGTTGAATTTGGAGAACTTTTTATTTTGACCTACTTTTCTGACACCATATCTCAAAAGTGGGTCAAAATACTTCCTGACGGCAAAAGGCTAACACTATTAACACACTCTTTGCTACCTGTCTACAAAATTTGGAAGCAAATCATTAAAGTGTAGTGTCAGAATCGCAAAAATAAGTTAAAACTATAAATTTGACCTAGATTTTGACCTAGGCATTTTGGTGTCCAAATTTTAAAGCTAGGTAGCTTTTGAGGTCCCCTTCGTTTATAGGCTTTCATTATCTTAAGCTGTATTCAGTCTATATTTAGTATTTTACACAATCTTTTTTCCCATTGACTTAACATGGGGCACCAAATTTAGCGTTTTTTAGCTTTCAAAATGCCATAACTTTCGAAATTTGGTTTGCAGATTTGGATTCCTGGAAAAATTCTACATCTTTTTCATAGCTCACACATTCAATTTGGAGGATGTTTAGTCGTGACCTACATTTCGGACGCCATATCTCAAAATCAGTAAGAGTAATCAAAATTCTGATGTCATATCTTTGATTCGCCTTTTTCTAAGCTACACAATGAAAAAAAGATAAAGGAGTTACGAAGAATATTGACGAAGATATGATGAAGAATGTTGAAAATGTAAGATTTGACCTAGTTCTTGACCTATGACCTAGATAAAAATTTGACCTAATTTCCCAGAAAGCCAGATACATTCCCTAGTCAACCATGTAGGTTGGATTAAGTAAGATGTTATAGTTGGAGAGAAAATCTGTTAGAAGGAAGAAAGAAAGAAAGAAAAAAGAATAAGAAAACAGGCAAAAACAATAGACTCCAGATTTTCAATCTGGAGTCTAATAAAAAGAAATATCACGCTAAGTCTGGTAGAGGCAGCTTTAGCAGAGTGTACACTGCTCTGGGAAAGCTGCTATTATATTCACTGTTTGAGAAACTTTGAAGGAAGATTACGCCTTGGACAATAGCCTCAACGGTAACACTTGGAGCCTATAAGCCAGGTTCTTTCCAGTAGCCATTTTAGTAGTGCGAGTTTAGGGCTTTGTATAAAAACCTCAAACCCATGTATACCCATGTACAATACAAACTTTTAAGGGTTAAATTTTTTTAATTAATGGTTTTGTAAGTGGATTTGCTAATTGGAATTCTCACGCGGTACTAACTCATCGGGGCGTAGCGAAACCAAAATGTCCCGCAAAACCATTAATTTGAATTTCAAACCTACCCTTTCTTTGTAAAATCAATGATTGTGAGTCTCATAGAACACCGTTTTTCTTCAAATTTGTTCCATTAAAACCTTCACAGAAATACCTTTCGGTCGAGACATTGCTTTTGTGTACAGAGTCACTCGTTTTAGCGGCGTTTTGGTCCCCAGATGTAAGAAGATGCAAATCCTCAGAGATTTCAACCAAAAGCCTCGATATATCGCCAGTTCTTTTATTATTCTCCCCTATATTTTGCACAGGGACTCCCATTACAAACCCTCCATCTCTGCATCAACATATTTATTACATTAAACGCACCAATTTCCAAAAATCCCACGCATCTGTTCGAAATTGATCAAAACGCCTGTTCTCTTCGAAAACGCCCCGTTGGATCTATACACCTTATCTATACACGTTTGTAGTCATGTGACTCTGTGGGGTGTTTTGGAAGACAACGTTGTGTTTTGGTCAATTTCTAACGGTTGCGTAGGACTTTTTTTAAATTGCTGCGTTTAATGTAATAAATATGTTGATGCAGCGATGGAGGGTTGTAATGGGAGTCCTTGTGCAAAATATAGGGGAGAATAGAACTGGCGATATATCAAGGCTTTTGGTTGAAATCTCTGAAGATTTGCATCTTCTCACATCTGGGGACCAAAACGCCGCTAAAACGATGGACTTTGTAAACAAAGACAATGTCTCGACCGAAAGGAATTTCTGTGAAGGTTTTAATGGAACAAGTTTGAAGAAAAACGGTGTAGTGTGTGACTCACAATCATCGATTTTCCAAAGACAGGATAGATTTGAAATTCAAACTAGACTTTGGAAATTGAACAAGTTCAATTTCAGACTCCAGATTTAGACCTTTTTTAGCCGAGTCATCCAGAATAAGCCGAGTCATCCAGAATAAGCTGAGTCATCCAGAAAAAGATGGATGGATAAAATAGGAAGGTAGGATAGGATAGAATAAGAAGGAACAATAGGATAGAATAAGAAAGAAGGGTAGGATAGAACAGAATAGGAAGAAAGGATATGATAGGAGAGGATAGGAAGGATAGGAAGGAAAAGATACGAAGGAAGGAAGGATAGGATAGGATCAGATAGGAAGGATGGATGAATTTTTCAATATTTTCTTCTCTACTCTTGACTTTCTATCAGGATACCATCAGATCGATTTTCGGAAATTTCAAAACGCCATAACTTCCGAACCTGCAGTCGGATCGAAATTTGATTTAAAGATTCGGATTCCTGACAAAATTCTACCCCTAATTCATAACTCATAAATTAAATTTGGCGAATTTTTATTTTGACCTACTTTTCGGACACGCAATAACTTCGGAACCGGAAGTCGGATCGAAATTTGGTTTGCAGATTCGGATTTCTGAGAAAATTTTACTCTAATTCATAACTCAAACGTTAAATTTGGAGAACTTTTTATTTTGACCTACTTTTCTGACACCATATCTCAAAAGTGGGTCAAAATACTTTCTGACGGCAAAAGGCTAACGCTATTAGCACACTCTTGGCTACATGTATACACAATTTCGAGGAATATAATTAAAGTGTAGTGTCAAAATCGCAAAAATAAGGAAAAACTTTGGATTTGACCTAGATTTTGACCTAGGTATTTTGGTGTCAAAATTTTGAAGCTAGATGGCTTTTAAAAGCTTTCATTAAATTAAGCTGAACTCTGTCTATATTTCGTATTTCTCACTTCAGAAAATTTTTTTTCCCATTGACTTAACATGGGCACCAAATTTAGCGATTTTTGAGCTTTTAAAACGACATAACTTCCGAACCGGAAGTCGGATCAAAATTTGGTTTGCAGATTCGGATTTCTGACAAAGTTCTACCCCTAATTCATAACTCATACATTGAATTTGGAGTACTTTTTTGTGTGACCTACTTTCCGGACGCCATATTTCAAAATCGGAAAGAGTAATCAAAAACGATTTGCCGTACGGAATTAGCTTTGTTTCCAAGGAACATGATGAAAAAAAGATCGAGAAAAAATATTGAAGAACGACTGAGAAAATTGGTAAAATGATGAAAATACAAGATTTGACCTTGTTCTTGACCTTTGACCTAGATGAAAAATTGACCCAATTTCCGAGAAACTAGATACTGGACCTAAATTGACTGTATAAAGGACTTGACTCAATGTCTTCTAGTTATTGAGAAAACGTGTAGAGAAAAATAATAATAACTAGACTTTGGAAATTGAACAAGTTCAATTTCAGACTCCAGATTTAGACCTTTTTTAGCCGAGTCATCCAGAATAAGCCGAGTC